CCGGCTCGGTGCCGCCGGCATGCAGCACGGCGTGACCGCTCCGTGGTCGGGCCCGCCGGGAGCTGGTCCGCGCTGCCCGTCAAACCCCCCGGCTGGCTTTCCTCCCGGCTTCTGCTGCCAGGCTGCTGCCTGGTCTTGTTCTGCTCGGCGTCTTTTGTATCCTGCCTTCAGCGCGCTCACCCTGGTTTTTCTTAAACTCTTCTTTAGTTACCTGCAGGAATAGGACGTCCTCCATGGTTGACATGGGTGCTGGTCATGTCGGTGCTGGCTGATGCTGCTGGCCTCAGGCTGGCTCTTGCGTATGGGTGCACAGTGGTGGTGGGGAGCTGGTGCTCCTCCAGGGACACCTTGCTGGTATTTTTTTGCACTTGTTGCTGTAGAAATGGCAGAGAAGGAGCTGGAGTGCGTGGGTGACTGTGTGGGAAGCAGTCCTTAGCCTAAATGACCTGGTGGTTAAGTCCAGCTTGTTTTCTGGAAGGCCTAAAGGTTGTCCGGTGTGGCAGCATCCTTAACTTATCAGCAGACGTGGTCAATAATGATAAGAGTTGGTGTAGACTCCTCTTAAGGAGTCTGTATTATTTTCCTTAAGTGCTTCCATTGCTCATACGCTACTGAAATGTTCCCGGCTCACTCTCTGCCGCAGACGATAACGATGTGTGGACGGATGGCAGTGAGCAAACAGCACCCAGCCGCTTGGTGGGGAGGAAACTGGCAGGAGGAGCGTGCTTTCTTGATGCTCTGCCCGCAAATGAGCCTTGCCTGGATGCAGGCAGAGCGAGGCAGGAATGGAGCTGCAGGCTCCGTCCCTTTGCTTTGTGCTTGGAGCCCGGCCGTGCCCCAAAACCAGCTTGCTCCTTGGGCTGGGCATCCTGCCTCTGGCAAGAGCATCCTTTCGGCCACACAGACCCCTCTTAGCTGCATCCGAGGAAGCCAATTAAAAAATGCTTACAATAAATTGAGACTTGCATGCCAGAGGCATTTCTTTGCACCTCCTAGTTGGGAGCTTACATCTGGTGTTTCAAATAACAACTTCTTCACCCTTTTTTTTTTTTTTTTCATGTTCACTTATTCTTGCGTTACTTCCTATATTATTCCTGAATTATTATCCAGATGATCCAGGCTCTTTCTGTAAACAGCTTTCTAAGCAGTTAGTCATCTCCAGTGCCTGCTGTACCTCTGCCCCAGATAAACTGGTGCCAGCGATGCTGTTGCGGCGGAGACGGTCTGACTGCTGTAAAGACCTCGCTGGCTTTTCAATGTTTTCTTCCTGCATTTAAGTGTATTTTGTTCTCCGAGTAATGCGGTAAAACGAGTTGTTCAGTGCTATTTCCCCCCTTGCTTTCTCTTTTGGTACAGTTGACTTACGATATAGTAAAAGATGAATAACTGAGATTATTTTTCTCTGTGCATTACCTTGAACGAATGAATGAAATTGTTTGTAACCAGTGTGAATGGTCTTATCCTGGATCTTAAAACCCTTTGCAAGTGATATTAAGTGTTGAGTGTTTCTACCAATGTTTCTCCGAGTTCTCTCGTGACAGTGCGATGGGACAGTATTCGTGTCACTGTACTTTGCTCGTATCCTGCAGTAACCTCCTTCCAGTCTCTTTTATTTTGGGAGACTTTTTCCTTGACAGCTAAGTATTAGCTATAAACTGCTTTTATTTTAAAAACCTGCATTAATCATGGAGCTTAAATAAATGAGACATTTCGCTAAGCCAGCATCCTTGGACAAGAGCAGAAAAACCAACACCAGTTCCCTGCTTCCAGCTTGCTGCTCCACCAGCTGCTCTGCACGTGCTTGGGGAGGTTATTTCATTTTTTTTTAATAGAAAATTTAAATAAACCAGAAGTATTCTTCTAGCCCCGTGGAGGCTCATCACCCCGGAGATCGTGTTCCTGGTTTGTCGTGCGAATGCTGGCAGCACCAGCACGGAGCTGGGGCTGGAGGATTTGTTACTCTGCTGCATATGGTGGGTGCATGATTTTGGGCTGCCCAGGGATGTTCAGCAGCATCTCAGAAAACTAAACTTGATATCTTAGGAATTTTGCTCTCTGGGGTGCGTGCTGGAGGTCGGCGGGAAGCGTGCCCTCTGGTCTTTCTTACTCCTGGGCACCAGCTGTGCTGGGTTTCTCTTTGGCTCAGTGCTTTAGGTCCCCTGGGAGGAGAGAGAGCAAGTGGCTGAGCAGAGGTGGGAGGAAGAAATGGTCCTTTTTCTGCTGCAGTCAGCAGGAGGTACCTTGCAGCACTGCAAAAACAATCCTGATTGTTCAGCAAACAAAACAAAAAAACCCCCAAACAAACAAACAAAAACAACAAAAAAACCCCACCCAAAACCAACAACACAAAAAAACCTGCACAACTTCTTCTGGAAAGACACAATAAGTGACTCGAGAATAAAAAGCAGCTGTGCAGAGAAGACTGTCCAGGGAAGGAAAATCAGGACCTTCTGCTGGGGCAGAGGAGGCTGCTCACCAGACGCAGACCACAAAGCCCCTCTTACCGTGTTGGGTCGTTTGAGTGCTGGTTACTGGTGGCGAGCACCCATCTCCTGATCCTGGTGACCTTAGGGACAAAGGAGGGGATGGGACCTGCTCTGTAGGGCCCAGCCACTGCCCAGAGACCGTACAAGAGCAAAGGGGGTTTACTCAGCAGGAGGAGGTAAAACCTGCACCATTCAGGAGCAGCACTTGGTCCTGGCCTGGGAAGCTCAGCAGCAGCTCAGCCAGGTTTACAGATGCAATAAAACTGCTGGAGAAACTCCAGAATTGGTGCAAAGTCGTCGTCATCTGGTTTGGCGTTATTAATAGACTGGAGAAAGTTATTGCTTGAAAATGTCTACAATGCAAACTCACTTTTGGGGAAGGAAACGTGCTGATAAATGCTTGTATTTTATAGATGCTCCATAAATGTTAATGCTAGTAAAATAGCACGTGCTGCTTTTATTAGAAGGCTGTTGGTGTGCAGCAGGCTGGTTGTGCTGGGACCCTGGCCGAAGAGGAGGAAGTAGCATTGCTGCAAAGGGCAATGCTGGTGATGCCCAGCTTTCCTGCCAGGCTTGCAGTCCAGCGCTGCAATAAGAAACTCCTGGAGTAAAAAGCAAGCTGATAAACTAGATCTCTTTGTGCAAGCACTAGAATTTGAAAGGAGAACCGAAAGCAGAAAAGATTAAAATAATCACGGCTTTAACCTCCAGAGGCAGCGTGCTGCAATGATGCCGTTTCACTTCTGCTTTGCCCAGTCCCATAATAGATGCTTGCAAGGATGACAGAAAGCAGAAAGAATACACCATGGGTCATGCTGATTGCATTAAGTGTCCGTCTGTCCTGGTGGCCACCTCCAGCTGGCTCAGTCTCCTTGTTTTGGATATTGCAAAACCATGTCTCACTTTACAGGCATTTATCAGGGATTATCTCCACTGGGTTTTATTGCATGTGGGATTTTAAGATGTGTTTATAAGCAGGGAGGGTGTTTGCACTGATGTTTCATTTCTGCGTGCAACAGGCAATCAGGATCATTCGTGCCGTCCTGGAGAAGTACGGGACCTATGAGAGCTTTGAAGTCGCAACAGGCGGGAGGCTGTTGAGCAAGTGCCAGATCTGGTCCGTGATCCGAAAGTACATGCAGAAGGAAGGCTGTGTGGGAGAGGTAATCCGCATCCCTGCTTTATCGCTTGTAAAATACAGCTGCAAAATGTTTATTTTCTGATAAAAAGGGCTCCAATTAAGAAATATTTTGGGTACAAAGAAGAAACTTTTCTACTCTGAGCTGTGGAGTCCTTTCATCTCTGGCTTGGCTGCGTTCTCTGTACCCCAGCGTTAGGATGAGGGTGCTGGTTCCCCACCAATTTTCCTTGATTTTTTCAGTGTATATCTCCCTTTTATGCTTGAGCAAGAATGCTCCCTGTGGCCACGCAGGGAGCATTTTGCTGCGTGCATGAGGCATCAGTTACTGCCATTAGCAGTGGTATGGCAGACATCTCTGACAGCTGCCTTCACTCGCGTGTCCAAAAGTAAATCCAGGGGGAGAGATTTCCTGCTGTCCAGCGGCATGTGCTGGGTTACAACGCTTTGAAACTCCAAGCTCAGGTTTTAAGGCTGGGGAATATGTGGTTATGATATGACGATAGCCATGCGGGATGGAGGAGGGGGGGAAGTTCAGCAACTCTTAATCTGATTTCTCTGTTCCCCTAGCAGCATCCAGCATGGGATGTCCTACAGCTTTGATTAAGGGGCTTTTTTACCCCTTCCTGCTAGCAAGGTGTGGGCAAAATGCTTCTGCCGTCCTGGGTTCAAGTGGTGATAAGGATTTCTGGACCTGGTTTTGTTTTTTTGGCTCGCAGGGCTGCCTTTGGCTGTTGGCTGCAGCACAGAAGGCCGTGCAGTGCTGGCTGGCATGGGGACTTCCTCACCACTGCCTCTCGGCCAGACTGTTTTTCCTAGCTCTGCCCTTTCACTTCCATCTCCAAACAGGGTTATTCATGAGCATTTCCCTGAAGCATCAACTTGCTCAGCGGTACCCAGTGCATTTCATGCCTGCAAAAGCAGGAGTGAGTGGTTCCCCAAGATCCCACCTGGCCAGGGGATGTTCCTCCTCCAGCCCCCTTGGTTTGCCATTATCCCTCCCAGGGGTGTCCCTGTGATGTGGATTTGGCACCTTGGCCCTCCTAAGCCTTTGCTTAGGACAGAAAGGATCTCTGCAAAAAGGATCTCGGCGTTCTCCTGGAGGAGCTGGCTGCTCACGGCTTGGATGGGTGCACTCTGCGCTGGGTTAAAAACTGGCTGGACGGCCAAGCCCAGAGAGTGGTGGTGAATGGAGTCAAGTCCAGTTGGCGGCCAGTCACGAGTGGTGTTCCCCAGGGCTCAGTACTGGGGCCGGTCCTGTTCAACATCTTCATTGATGATCTGGATGAGGGGATCAAGTGCACCCTCAGTAAGTTTGCAGATGACACCAAGTTGGGTGGGAGTGTTGATCTGCTGGAGGGTAGGAAGGCCCTACAGAGGGACCTGGACAGGCTGGATCGTTGGGCCGGGGCCAACTGTATGAGATTCAACAAGGCTCAGTGCCGGGTCCTGCACTTGGGTCACAACAACCCCATGCAACGCTACAGGCTGGGG